TCTCGAACCACCACATTCGGGACAGGCAAGATCTGCCCATCCTTGGTCTTCTCGATGAAGATGGCTACCCGCCGGGGTACCAGCTCACAGTCATACTCTATCCGCTGTGCCCGGGCGATGAACTTCCCATCCGAGTTGTGTCCTGTGGTGAGCAGAGCCGGCCATCAGCAACAGCACAAGGCGCAGGGCAAGGAGGGATGCTGCTATATTTGTACTGCCACAGGCTCAGGGGACCCTCTGTCCCCAGCCAGAGACCCAGCCCACCCAGTTGGTCATGAGTTTGTGGGGAGGAAGGTCACTCTTTTAAAATGCATATAAAATAAGAACACGCTGTGCAGCAGGACCGTAATTTAGGGAAAACCCTACAACTACTCTGGGAGGCAAAGGAAAATGTGTCTCCTCCTGTGGCTGAGATCAGAGTAGGCAGCGCTCACCCTAAAGTCAATCTACCAAGCACCCAGTTGGGGAGCTCTGAGGAACTCCAGAAGGCAGAGCGGACGTGATTGTTCAGCACAAGAGTCTCCATTTCTGCCTACAAATTAGCATAATTTAAACATACTGCAAAAGACATAAAAACCTGGAGTTCACAAACAACCTGCAAGAAGTCATGAGGGACAGGGTCAGTATCGGCTTCACTGGTGAAGGGCCTGCCTGGCACATTATGGGCATGCTCCAGCCAAGCACCGAATTCACATGTCTGTGGCCCCAGGACCCAGTCAGCATTTTTCTGGCTTCTTGCATTGGTGGTATATCCCAGTACTCGGGAGGCACAGGCAGGAAGCAGGAAGATCATGAGGTAAAAGCCATCCTCAGCCACACAGGGAATTTCAAACCAGTCTGGGCTACATTGAGTCTGTCTCAAAAACAAAACCAAAAACTTCTAGGCTAGCCAGAGATATCACCTTCAAAAAAAAAAAAAAAAGAGCAGCGGGGTGGCAGTGGCATAGGCCATCAATCCCAGCCAGGTGGATCTCTGTGCGTTCGAGGCCAGCCTGGTCTACAGAGCGAGATCCAGGACAGGCTCCAAAACTGCACAGAGAAACTCTTGTCTCGAAAACCAAAAAGAAAAGACACAAGGGCCAGTCTGGACCCACTAGCCAAGATGCTGGTTGCTCACAGTCCAGGACATTTTCATCCCTGCCCCACCCCACGCCCGTGGCAGCAGCGCTGTGACATGTGTCACAGCAGGACACTGGCTAGTCCCTGTTCTGCTCCTCAGACCCTCACAGTGGCATGTGTGGGTACTGTGCTACAGAAACACCCCAGACCACAACTGAGCACAGCAGGATGCTGTTCAGGATTCCCTTCTGGAAGCAGTTCAGATCACCCTCACACACCACCAGGAGGTGCCAGGCAGCTGAAAAGCCTGAGGCCACCATGGACCTCGCCATCTTTCCAACATGCTCTCTACTGACCAGGGCTCCAGTGTCCCTTCAGTGTCCTGTCCAAATGTTGACAACTGAACCAAACTGTCCCCGGAGAGCAGCAGGTACATCTGCCATTTTTTCCTCCCACCTCTTTGAAGGCGCTGCACTCAGCACCTGTCTGTTGTCAGTGTGCGGGCAACACTTCCTCCAGGAAGGTGGGGTGGGGGCGGCTACCTTCTCCCCTGGGAGGCATTCAACGTCCTTCCCTGGCCAGCCAGTCACTGCAGCAGAACATGATGGGGTGGAGCCTATGAGCCCCTCCTGAAATCATGTTGGAATTCTAAAGGCAATGTCTGCACCGAGACAAGAGCAAAGGATGGGGGGTGGGGGCGGCGGCGGGGGGTGGGGTGGGGGGGTGATGACTAGGCTGGTCTGCTTTGCAAGACAGCTTTCACTATGCAGGCCTTTCTGGCCTGTAACCATGTCAACTACCCCAAACTCAGATGTGCCAGCTTCTCAGCTGCTGGCCATCACAGGTGTGAGCCAGCACACCTGGCTCGAAGGAAGGACGTGTTGCAGAGTGAACTGCCGAGTTCAGCATGAGACGTTCTGTAGACCAAGGTGAAGCCCGGTTCCTAACTGCACACAAGGGCTTTGACTGTCCTCCAGAACCATCCCACGAATGCCAAAGAGCAAGCTGCTCAAGGCAAGCAGGCTGGCTCCATCAAGGTGCTCGTCTAAAGGTGACAGGAAAGATGCACACAGAGCAGGAAGCAAGGAAACACACACACACTTCCTGTGCTGGGTCTGGGTATGGCAGGAGGCCCGCCCGTGGCCATGGAAACCGTTTATCCAACAGCCCCGAGAACTCCCTGGCAACCAGCACGGATGTGCGTAAGGGGCTGGTCCTTCTTATTCACTTCTGACTGGAGGTATATTTAGTTTCACAGAGTCACTGTTCCTTGGAGTCTAAGGTCAGTGCAGCGCTCTGCTTCTATTTATAGTCTCCCATCTGCACACTTCTAACGACACTGGGACCCAGCAACCCAGATCCCGTGCTGCTGTAGGCTCTGCAGACACCAGCAGGGGGCGCCCACACCTCACCTCCTGCTCAGGACTGGAGAAAGGACCAGGAGGCCTTGAGTCAGAGGGGAAAGGAAAATGGAGACCTTGCAAAATTCGGGTTGCAAGCTTTACCAACTCTGAGGAGAGCTTGCTGACCTCCTCCTCTCTTCTGCTCTGTGAAGTCCACTACGATGAGGGATGAGCTGATGATAGCTCATCCATCCAGGATTTTCAGAACTCCTCACTCTTACGTACGTCTCTCACTTCTAATAAAGGCTCATCACTTATATACGTGAAGAGTGGCTCAGCTTCTGTCCGCTCCAAGATTCTCACACAAGTGGATTTCCAAACCAAAAGAAAAGCTTCTTTGCCAGACAGACTCAGTCCTGATGCTCACTGAGGTAAATGAAGCATTGTGACCCTTGTAACCTAGAGTTAACAGCAAGTTGTTCCACGGAGCGTGAGACGCACTTAGCGGGTAGCAGCTACCTTCTGGATCAATTACCCACACTTGTAACACACACGCACAGCCCCACACTGCCTTCTGGCTCTATACTTCCAGTCAGATCAGAGCTTTTAAGAAAGAGACTTCCATACCCAGCTGGCCATACTCAGGGCACCCAAAGGAATAGAGGTTGCCTTTGCAGTCCATCAGCATGCTGAACTCAGCCCCGCAGGCCATCTTGGTAATCGGCTGCCCATTGTACATGATCTGAAAAGACAGAGACAGCCAACTTTCAGCTCCTTGAATTTCTTTTCCTCATTCCACCCCGGTGCCAAACAACAGTGAGCTCACCACCATGAGGGTAGACTCCATGGTTCAGAAGGCGGCCGCTTGAGCACACCTGTTACCACAAAGCTGACAACGAAGACTCTAACTGCTGGAGCCCCCTACCCTCCCAGGACAGCAGATTCTGGGGCTTTATCCCCTGGAGTCTCCCAGCAGCACCCCATCATCTGGCTCCAGCACCAGGAGCGGGGCTGGAGGCAGCAGCATCTCGCAGTGACCCCAGACAGGGAAGTAACAAGCAGGACCTCGGGGCTGCCCCAGCCTGAACCAGCCAGCTGTCCTGTCGCAGAACTCAGTCAGGCCTCAATGAAGGTGTGAGCCAGACACAAAATGGCTCAAGCGAGGATGCGCAAAGACAGCAAGTGATAGGCTGGTGCCACCGCAGGGGACAGAAACCAGACAGACCCTGGAAAAGGCCCAGGCAGAAGGAACAAACAGTATTTCATCCTCGATGGTGCAGGCGAACATGGCACTCAGGCTCATCTCATCTTTCCCCACTCTTAACTATCCAACTGCACTCCAGAACTCACAGCCAACAAAGCAGGAGCCATTCATTATCCTTCAGTCTCTACAAGGATAATCCCGAGGTCCTCCAGCACACCGCTAAGCCCCTGGCCGGCAGCCAGCACCGTTTTCCAGGGAGGAAGACCCTGCAGAGCCTCTTGCTCCGTTCCAACTTCACACAAGGTCCGAACTCAGTATCTGCCAGGCGGTTGTGGTGCACGCCTTTATCTCGGCACTGGGAGGCACAGGCAGGTCAATCTGTTGTGAGTTTGAGGCTAGCCTGGTCTAGAGTAGGTTCCAGAATAGCCAGGTCTACATAGAGAAACCTTGTCTGGGGGTAGGGGGAAGCAAACAAGCCATGGTGTCTGCAGGTGAGGAGACCTGCATCCCACCGCAGGGCTGACCTAACACAGCTTCTCTCCACCGCTCTCAAAGCTGCCCACACTGTGCTTGTACCTGAGCAGGGCTTGGGACGGCATCTGTCTGGTTCCCGAGGCCCAGCTGCCCCATCTTGTTCTCTCCAAAGGCGAACACAGAGCCAGTGTCTGGAAGGAGAGAAAAACAGGACCGAAAGGGATGCAAGGATGAACGTTTTCAAATGGATTTGGATTAGCATTATGCAAACAGCTCATCCACCAAGCAAAGCGTGAAAAAGAGCTGAGAGTCGTTGTGTGTCCATCCGTCCCAAGGACGGCGAGGGTGACAGCAGGGTGCAGACAGAGCTGAGCCCTGCCACACACAGAACCTGGTCTGGGCTCCCAGGGGCCACCATAGGGCTCTCGCTACCTTCAGGGAGACACCCACCAAACCAGGGCATCGACACTGGCTCGGAGTTGTTCAGCAACTCCTCCCACCCCAGAGAAACCACCTTTGCAGCCTTTTGCCGCAGCGAGACGGAGAAGAGCCACCTTTTTACCTGTCAACGCCAGGGTGTGGTTACGCCCACATGCTGCCAGCACGATAGCCTCGTGACTGAGGGCCTCAATGAGTCTGGGGGCTTCAACCCTCTTGGTATCACCATGGCCCAGCTGCCCCTTTTCATTCCGACCTGAGGGGAGATCACGGCTGGCTAGGTAAGCAATACAAGGACAGGCTGGGGTGGGACCCACTCTCATCCCCCAGAACAGACCTTCAACAAACCCCCGAGAACAGGATGAGCCCGGCTACTTGCCCCAGTGAAAAGTGAATATATCCCAATAGGAAGTGGCCAGCTACAGACCATCCCAATGCACCCCCAGTCTCTATCACCCCAGGACATGTTTGGTGTGGCCTGGATGCTCCACAGGCGTTAAGCTCCAGGAACAGCTCTCACTCTTCGTGGGTGCTGGGGGACACTGTCCCCCTCCTCAGGGAGGGTCTCATACACGTACTATTGACCTTCATTTCTTCTAATCTGCACCCCTACCCTGTTACAAGATCCCAGCCCCAGGTCTGGAGAGGTGTCTCTGAGGTTAAGAGCACTGG